CCCCAAAACCCCAAAACCCCAAAACCCCAAAACCCCTTTGCATGCAGAAATATTGAATTATATTTGGATTAAAATTATGAAATCCCTATCCCTCAGATACCCTTCCCTGCCAAATCTGGAACGAAGTTATTGTCTATAGATAATGATGACTGCCTACTTTCTCTTCTCTTTGTTATTTTTGGGGGTTTTGGAGCAGGTATTTTCCTTTTGGGTTTCTTTCTTATTCTCAAGCTTGGAGCAGTATTAACCTCAATGTTTTCATTATTTCCTGAATCTGCTGTATTCTCACTGTTTGAAGCAGCTTGACCTAGTGTTACAACATTCATATTATGAGATAGGCTTGAAGGCTCGTTTTCAGGTTCAGTGTTTCGCATTGTAGAAGCATGAGAACCAGAAGAGGGATTTCTGGTAATATTTAATTTAACAATAGGATTTGTCGGAATTTGATATTCAAATGTTTCTTTCTTCTCCTCTATAAATTAAACTAAAGTCCTTACCTTCTCTTGGTGTCTGCTTAAAGTCATCTTCATCTACATATAATCCAATTGCCTAACCTGGTCATATATCGCTGAATTGATCTTCACAAATCCTTGAGGAGTCAGTAAATTTCTTCATAATTGGCATTACTTCAGGCTTCATTTCCTACCGATATAAGCTTAGATCTTACTTGGTTGTTAACACAAACCTCTTTGTTTTCTTCTCTGTTATAGTGAGTCTCATTTTGAGAACTATTCGTGATTGATCTATAATGTCAAAAAGTATCCTACCTGATCTCTGGGAATAGCTCCTCTAGTTCTTCAGCATCTACAGGGTTATCAGCCAAAATACTTCGATTGTCTTGGTCATGGATCAGATCTTGATTCATCGTCTGCGGGTCCTTGACTAGAGTCTCTCTTTTTGAGTCCTTCCTGCTGTAAGTCCTATATCTTGGTTAAGAAATTCTTACATCTTGGAGCTTTCTAAAGAGTTAAATGCCTGAACATCTCGTGCAATCCTCAGCTTGGTCCTGTTCATCCTCTTTGTAGGAATATGGCCTTTAGCTTTTGGTTGGTTATCAGTGTTGTTGAACCCAATCCTGATGTCACTTAAATCTCTCTTTCGACCTCTACTGTTCAATTGACTCTTTCCTTTGCTATTTTTGGAAATGCCTTTAGATGCTCTAGGGGGTTTATTGCCAGGTAGAGGAGGTCTCATTAAGGTTGGAGATATTTCCTGTACACCTATGTTTTTTCCATTTAGATTAAAATCCAAGTTCTGTGCTGGCTTTACACTGTTCGAAGATCTATGAGACCTCTTGTTAATGCCTGATTTATATTTGTGGGGAATAGCATTTTTCCGATTCTTTTGTGTATATAAAGTTTTAGAATCAACTTCTTTAGAAATCTCCATAGGTGTGACTCCGAAACCTACAAGGCCAAATTCAGGGCCTTTGCTTTCTTCTAGTTTTTTATTATACTCCTTTCTGGCATGTTGGCTCATCCTGAATTGACTTCTATAGATTATCAGAGGTGATCCTTACTTTCTGTCTTTCTTATCTCCAATATATCGCACCATATACTTATGGAAGCAATGATTTCATGGTACTATATAATTAATAGCATTATCTTACGATTTAGCACAGAAAGGTCATTTTCTTTGAGCTCTTCAGCTTCATGGCTTTCTCAGAATTTGCATTTAGCTCCTTCTCTCTCACTATTCTTAGCCTTTTGGTTATCAAGCTTGAGTAAAAGGTCGTAGTCATTAGCTGAGAGATCTCTTGTCTGGATCTCTTGCATTATCTTAAGGTACTCATCATTATCTATTAATAATAAAATGTTCCCCTACTTTGCATAGATTTCTCTTGTTTCTCTCTACGATCTTTCTTCTGAATGTCTTTGAAAATCTCCTTCTTTTGGTCATAACAGCTCTTGCAGATCCATTTGTTTCTACAAATATTTCAGCTGAAAATCTGAACGCTCTATGGCAAGGGTCAGAGTATGACTAGGAGCCTAACTTACTCTATTTTTGTAGGTATAAGCATCTGCTGCATGCTCATTACAGGATACACACTTGGGCATATTTTTGGAAAACTCTTTACTTTAATTTTTCATTCTCTTCAGCAATTTTATTAGCTCTGAAAATCCTGGACTCCTTTACAAGCTCCTCAAGGGCATTTTCTCCCCAGTTACATCTGCAGAGAGGACAAAGAATCTGCTTTTTCTCTGACTTATTTATGCTTCACTAGGTGCTTTGCTCAGTCCATATGAATATTATGCCCACAGCCATATTTACAGTAAGTTAAGTTCTCATCAGGAAGCATTTCATCGAATCAGATGCAACATGGTTCGTCATCTTCGATGGCAGCTCTTTTGACAGTCTTTTTCTCCTCTTTCTTAGTCTTTCTTGTCAGAAATCCTGTGTGGGTCTTTACTTCTTCTCCATTACGAAGTCTAAACATACCTCGTTCACGATTCTGGATAATCTTGTTTATCTCTCTGTCTGAGTAACTGAGTTGCCACAACAGAGGCTCATCTTCTGGGATTTTAAATATTCTGAGAAGCGCGAATATTGTATGGATTCAGTGCTCTTTTTGGCCACCTCCACATGTTCAACTGATGATTGACCCAATTTGAACTTTATTCTTTTTCTTATGTTCATCCTGAATCACCAAATTGGTGGGCCCAGGCTCATGGACAAGATAGAAGGTCTTGTTCTTAGTAGCGTTTAGAAGTTCTCCAAAGACAAAGGTAGGCTTTGACCTCCATGGCTTCGCTCTTGACATTTAGAAGAAGTTGAAAATAATTTAATTCTATTAATTTGAAAATTGTTGGGGTTTTGGGGTTTTGGGGTTTTGGGGTTTTGGGG